CCTATGTGTGGCCCAATTGCGCATACATATGAATCACATACATTGGTCCGGCTCCATTTATTTGTTCAGACCTTAAATACAACCTCGCTTCCGACCCTCGCATATTTGCTCTGCTCTCTGCCCCTTTTGACTGGATCGCCTGGAACTTGGCATCAGTTCTGTTGGTTTGACATTTTGCGATTTATTTCTCAGGTCTTTCGCGTTCATCAGGCCACCTCGATTTGTCTATTCTTCATCCAGCTCTTCGTTTGTCGGCTTATTTACTCATTCATTCATCCATTAATTGGACCTTGATTTGATTTTGATTTGATCTGAAATTTTCTGATATTTCTCATCTTTCTGTTTCTATTTGGCCCCTCGCAAGCGTTTTGCCTGGTCCGCTAGTCGTCGATGTTGATCGTTTATCATTGTCTGCTTGCATTCTTCGGATATACACTAAGAGTGCAGGATTGTCTACCTCTACATTGCCATACCTTAAAACTATTGACGCTTTCCAGCTTGCGGTATTTGTGTGTATGTGTTTATATATGTGTATATTTATGTGTCTGTGTGTGTTTGTGTGTGTATGTACCAGCCAGACAAGACTTACTCACACAGGATGACATTTAAGCATTCATCAGACAGTCTCAGACTCAGCTCTCGAACCTTGGGAACCTGTGGAGATTTCTTTGGTCACTTTCTGTCGCCACGTGCCAACCCATCTCTATTGGAAGCCATCTTTTGTCTGGGCTGTGAAGGCTTGTATACCATGTCATAGTAATATAGAACGAACTTTAGTAACTTTGGTACTTTCAGCAAGCTTGGTTAAAATGCCGTTTTTCCAGTTGCCCACTCACAACATTTGTCCAGCTAGGCTTTGAAGTGGCTGAATTTCGTGGACAATTGGGCTTCCTTATGGACGCCTCGGTTACTCTTCATACTCGGTTTAATGATCATATGATCATTTCTCCTGTCAACACATTCTGTCAGGCCTGAAGGGAATTGTAGAATGAAAGGAACCTGTAGCCAGTGAAGGGATTGTGAGTGTAGGGGAAAAATGCAGTTATTTGCAAAATATTTGTTTACTTTGAAGCATCTTTCGTCTATCTGATGACTCCATTTTTTCGTCCCGACAAAAGAGCATTTTTTGCACAAACACGCATATGATACATTGAAAGTATCGTTCTATTTTTCTTGATCAATTAAATAAATGACCATATAATTATGTAATTTTATAATCAAATATGCCCATATCTTTCGAGGCTGTTTTTATACTCACATTGCATTCGCTCACCAATCATGTGCCACACTTTGGCCTCGACAATTTTCTGTTGCTCC